GTTTTTTTTTTTTTTTCCTTTTTATTGTTTATTAATTATTAATATTTATATTTATCAAAACCACTTTTCTTCTGATTTGGTCAATCTGGTGGGGACCATACTTTGGGTCAGCCCTTCGTACTATTTTTCAACTTCGGAACCCTTTTCTTTTTTTCCTTTTTCTTTTTTAACTGATATTTACTACTATTGTTCTTTTTAATACTATTTAAATATATGATAAATTATTTTAAAATAATTAATTGTGAAACTTATTTTATCAAAATAGCATGAAAAAAAGGCAGATACAAACAATTAAAATAAAAGAAAAATCTACATTGATGAGCTAGAATATTTTGTTTTATTCGCCCGATAATTAAAATTTAAAAAAAAATCCACGTTGGTGTGCATAAAAGAGAGAAGTTAGAAAGAAATTGATAAACTAAAAAAATTCGAGTGGATTAGAGTTTTGCTAGCTGATATGGGCTCGTTTACCCATTTCATTGGGCTTCACTAATGCCGGCCAAAAACAAAGCCCACAAGTATAAATGATGTATGTTCTAATCCTAGGTTCACTTCCCTCCTAAAATGAAATCGAAACCGAAACTGAAACCCCGAAACTCGAAAACCGAACTACAAAGTAGAAACCCGAAACCCAAACCGAAGCCCGAAATCGAAACTCGGAACCGAAACCAAAAACCAAAACCAAAACCACGTGAAACTGAAACCGAAACCCGAAATCAAAAAAAAAAATTCCAAATTTTGAAATTCAAAATTATTTGGAACCAATTACTTGCTTTTGGAAAACAAAAATAGAACTCCAAAACATGCTTATTTCGATCCAAAACAAATTAATTTACATCTTTTGACTTTTATATATCAACTCTTTATGGGGTTTTTCAAAGTTATTATTCCTCAGTGAGCTGGTAGAATATTTAAAACCTGGTAACAAAACCTTTTTCTCTCTCTTTGTGCCGTTCTTGCTTTTATATTTTTTCTAAATATTCCTTTTCTTCTCTTTTCTCTGTGCTACACAATACGTGGGGAGCATAAAGAGTTGTTTTTTTAGGAAAAAAGAAAAGAAAAAGGGAATAGTCAATCCAGAAGTAAGAAGAAAAGCAACTCTAAAGGGTATTCAAATTTCAACGCAGTGGTCACTAGATTATTTAACTATAATATTTTCATTTTATAGTTATAAAATTTATTTATAGTTGATGGAGTAAAAAAACTTCAAATAAAAAATTATAGTTCGAATGTGGTTGTTAACAGTTTCTAGATCTAGAACATTATTTAGTTATAGGCTAGAGTACAAGTGTAAATAGAACTGAGTCATTTTAATTTGATAGTTATAAAAATCATTTAGATGGATTAAGAAAGCTTGATCAAATAAAATAATCATAGTTTGAATCTCGTTATAAATAGTTTATAGATCTAGAACATAGTTATAGAGGTGTAAATGAACTGAGTCGGCTAGAAAACTCGAGCTTTCTTAGTTGTTTACAGATTTGAAGAAAAGAAAAACGATAATACGTTGTCTATAAATTTACTAATTCATGTAATCTTCTTAATTTCTTCATATTGCTTAATACATTGTCGATAAATTTTACTAATTCATGTAATCTTCTTAATTTCTTCTTATTGCTTAATACATTGTCTATAAATTTACTAATTCATGTAATCTTGTTAATTTCTATTAATTGCTTGACTTTAGTTCTCCATGAATCTATGTACAGATCTCTATCATTTTTATCGTAAATAGTGTTGAATTGATCTTTAAACCAGGTGAAAACGAACTAAGCTAACTTGAAATTTTTCTCCGCTCGCATTCCGACATCTGCTGACCCATCTCGTACACCGCCAATCAGTCTGATTACTACGGTCTCTATCTTCGACAATTGACGGCGTCGTCGATCAGTCTGACCACTACAACCTCCGCATCTTCGACAATTGACGGTCTTTACGGTATCTGCATCTTCGACAATTGACGACACCGCCGATCAATCTGACCACTACGGCCTTTGCATCTTCGACAATTGACGGTCTTGTGTTGTTTCCAATTCGGTTTTGGTTCCTTAATTATTAGTTGTGATTAATAATTAAAAAATAATTGACAATGGTTATAATTATGATTAGAAATTAATTATATAAACTAGTATATTATATGAAAGTATTATATGAATTCAATAGAATTAGAAATAAAACATTTACCGTTTAACTTATTTATACTAACAACTATTGACATGGACGTAGATTATTGAAAACTTTTACGGTGCGTATAAATTTCTAAACCTTTTATTTTCATATTCTATTAAATATAAAGGTTTCTAATATTTTTACACTTTTCTAAAAATTCTAAAATCAAAATTAAAATGGGTAAATTATACCCAACCCTGAGGTATGCTAAAATAACTTCAAGGTCCCTCTAGTACCGATAATTACAATTATTCTTGAAACATTGTTAGAAACTCTAACGGAATAATGCATTTGATAAGTTATTCCGTTAGAGTTCTAATGAACTATTAATTTCAGGCTGTGGTGGAGGCAACATAGAGTTAGGGGTGACATGGTTCTCCTAACATTTCTTAAATCTTTATTATTTCATATAAGATTTATAAATTTTCGTCTAGGATAGATATTAACGGCCCCGCGAGAAACAAATATAGTGCATATCAGCCCCCATGACATAAAATCTTGGTTCCGGTAATTGTTTTAAGGGTGTGACTGTAATTACCAAATAACACATAAACCTTAAAATTAATTATTTTAGCATATCATAGGGGTGTAAGTGTAATTTACTCAATTAAAAATAGTACATTTTAGCAACTCTAATATGATTAGACTTCTTGCACAACCCCAACACTCATACTTATCTTCTAATCTAAAAATTCCAATATGTATCTTTTATTATTTTTAAATATATATATATATATATATATATATATATATATATATATATGTATATATATATATATAAAAGTGTTTTGCTTTGTTGCTAACCCTAAAATTCGATCAAAAGAATTACTGATGAAGAAAACCACACTCTATGTACTCGTATTCGTTGCTTGCATGGTGGCTTCAGCCTCCGCGGCGGCGGAGCACCAACACCAACACCATGACCATGAACAAACCCCAACAACGCCGCATCATCAATATCATTGGCCGTGGTGGCTCTCAGTTCCGTGGTGGCGGAGGGTGGTGCCGCCGCCTCCACCATCCAACGTCCACCACGCGCTGCCGCCAAGGGATCACCACCACAACTACTCACCCTCCCGCCCAGCCCCTCCGCCGCCGGCGGGATTTAGCGGGGATTGCTCGACGGCGTTGATATACACAGACGGCTGCACAAGGGATCTGATCACTTCATTTTTCGACGAGGAGAAAATATCAGTCGGCGGCGGTTGTTGCCGCACCATTTCTGGGCTTTCTGATGATTGTTTCCAGGAAGCATTTACGCAGTTTAAATCCCCTCGTTTCACACGCGCTATCAGGGATTTCTGTGCTCATCGTCACTTGAATTAAATATTTCATGAATTACTATTTGAAATTTATTAATTTTTGTATTTTTATTACTCCTATCTAGAGAGACAGATTTTCATGAAATTGGGGCCAAGTCTACATTATATTAGTGGGCTCATTGATGGAATTGGATCACATAAACTCCAGTTTTAGATTTGGGCCTCCGTGTAAATTACGGTCACCATGAGGTAAGGTTAAATTATCATGATTGAGAAATTATAACTATTCTTCAATTATGAATATTTTTACATGTCCAACCTAATGCTATGTAAATTATGAATTATGAATGTTTACTAGTATGTATTTTTTTTTGCAAAAAGATAATTTCTGATGCACTATAATATAATATTTACAAGCTAATAGATACATCTTATGATCGTTTTGTTTCAAAATATGAAGCTGGAATAGGGGCAATATTTCACATAATCTAGAAGATTTCATTAAATTTAATTTGACACTATAAGTATCTACTTGTAAGAAGATTCATAGTTGAAGAGATAATTATCCAAACATGAGATTTTTTTTCCCTTTTTCGATAATTTAACCTCTTTTTTGTAATTTTGACCTCCTCGGCTATGAATCTTCTTACACGTCCACCTTTACGTATCAAATTCAACATAACCTGCTAGATTATGTGGAATATACTCTTGTTTGTACTCATTTTGTACGGAAATGCAATTTCTGATGAGCACAATCTGATATTTACAAGTTAAGAGACCGTTCAAAATGTGGAGCTCGAACCGTATAAAACGGATACAAACTTGAAAATATTTCATATAATTTAAAACATTCCACTAAATTTACGACCGCAGTGATTGACGTATAAGAAAATTCATAACTGAGAATTATTGTAATCGCCTAAACATAAAAAGTTTTTTCGTGATTTAACCTTATCGCAGGGGTGACCATCATTTACCATTTTACCATTGAGTTAAAAGAGATTCTTGAATGGGTCGAGTCAACGGCAATCGCAAATGGGAAATAATATTGCCCATAAAACACTACACTAGTTCGTAGCCGTAGAGGTGAAGAAAACAACATCAAAATTCATTTCACAAATCAGCACCCTCTGCAACTCAATTCTCAGATAATCCCTTTCTTCGCTTTTTTTCTCTTTGATCCATACGAAATAAAACGGTGTTTTAATCAATCGTTTCAGACCAAAAAAACAAAAAAGGAAACTTTGATTTGATTGATGAAGAGTATGTATGTGAAATTGTGAATTGATTTGTGGGGGGTAAAATCGGTATATAGTGGATGGTATTCTCACTGATAATGGGTGTGGGGGGTTCAAAGTTGGAGAAAGCTTTGGGCGATCATTTCCCCGAAGGCGAACGCTACTTCGGCTTCGAGAATTTCGGCAACACTTGCTATTGCAACAGCGTTCTCCAGGTTTTTCTTTTTTTTTTTCTCGATTTTTTCGCTTTTATTTATTTCATGCTTTTTATTATTGTGTCTGAATTTTAGGTTTTCGAGATTCCAAAAAAGGTGTAGTTTTTTAATGTAGGGTTTAGGTTTATTGAGCTTTTGACATTCGTGATGTGCCTATTAGATAGTTTGATTGCTTTGATTTTGCTTGCCCTAAGGTCAATTATCATCTGGGCATGTTTTTTTTTTTTGATTGATTTGTGGTGCTTAAAGTTTTTGATGGTCTGATTAATTTAGGCAGAAAACTGTAGCGGATGCTCGTCCCGTTTCGATTGATTTTATTTTTCGAGGAAGAGATGTTTATACTTCATTTAATGATATGTAAGGTTTTTATATAACACGAAGGATCCGATATTAATGTTGTGGGTGGAGGTGAAATGGTGTGGTGCTTTTTGAGGTTTTTGAGAGAGTTGTGTATATTTATGAGGTTATAATAGTCAAAGATCTCACGAATATCGAAAAGAAACGTTAAGAATAAGAATCCTGCATGCAATTTTCGATAGAGTCGGTTCAATAATGAAATGGATGTTGCATGTTAATGCTACAAACGTCTACATATGCTCTGAGAATCTTGTATATTTTTTCTTTAGTTTTACGATGAATCTGTTTGTTGTGTTCCAGGCTCTTTACTTCTGTGTACCGTTTCGTGAACAATTGCTGGAGTATTATTCAAATAACAAAAGCCAAGGCGACGGAGATGAAAATCTCTTAACATGTCTAGCAGATCTATTCTCACAGGTAGTGGATTTAGTAAGAAGTGCAGCATTTCCTATTTGGTTGTCGTTTTTTTTTTTAAACAACAGTAGCACTGGAGTTAATTATATTAGGTAGAGATTCGGCTGTTATTATTTTACATTAAGTTTTGTGATTTATTCTCGACTTACTGTACGAGAGCCAATTTGGGTTGGGCATATATTTACTATGGTTTAATTGCACTTTAAACAAATTGCGTATAATTTTCGTCGCGTAGTTGAGATATTTGTCCTTACATGTTTCTACCACAATGATTAACCTTTAATTTACCTTATAAAATTACGTTTAATTAAGTTGTCGATTTAAAACTTTTAAGGTAATATTCTCTTGAGATTAACCAAACACTATATAATTGGTTCTTTACGCAGATAAGTTCACAGAAGAAGAAAACAGGTGTAGTAGCTCCGAAGCGCTTTGTACAAAGACTAAGAAAAGAAAACGATGTTTTCCGAGGGTACATGCATCAGGTGTGTTACTGGTAAACATGGATTCTTTCTACTTCTGCTCATACGAGGTATTGAGCCAGTTTTAGTGGTGAAATAAATTGTCTAGTGTTTCAAAGACGATGAGTTCATTATGTACTCACTAATAATTCAAGCCCGATATTCTTTTTCTCAATTTCAAACATATACAGTAATTAGTAGCTGCTGTTGTGCAAGTGATTCCAGCAATTCAGTTCAGGGACTCAGTCGTCATTTGGAGAATATTCCATTTATGAATTTCCTCTTTATACAAGAGTGTGACTGATATTGAATTCCCTCTATATGGAGAAAAATTAACGCTGGTGATGTCATGCAGGATGCTCATGAATTTCTGAATTTCTTGCTAAATCAACTAGTTGAAATTCTCGAAAAAGCGCCTCACAAAGTTAAAGGTGAGGATGTTCCAAATGGGCCATGCAATGGTGGTCAGGTCAACGGCCTTGTTAAGCAGGAACCACCCATTACTTGGGTCCACAATACATTTCAGGTGATCTCATCATGTAACAAGATTTCGAATAGTACGTCAACTTGGGAGAGGGGGTGGTGGTGTGTGTAGTTATGGCTTGTCGGCTTGTCAAATCTTTGATATTATCAGTATTGATTTAGATGATGAGATTTATCGAAATGCAGGGTATTTTGACAAACGAAACAAGGTGTTTAAGGTGCGAGACAGTTACTGCAAGAGACGAAATATTCTTGGATTTAAGCATCGATATTGAACAGAACAGTTCAATAACAAGCTGCCTCAAGAATTTCAGCTCCACAGAAACCCTCAATGCCAACGATAAATTCTTCTGCGACAAATGCTCCAGGTAGGCTCCCTCATAATAACCTCATTCCCAGCCTATTATCATTAAAAACAAGAACAAAGAATTAAATATTTATTTATTTCTTTCCTGGAAAAAAAAACGCAGTTTGCAAGAAGCCCAGAAGAGGATGAGGATAAAGAAACCACCTCGTATACTTGTGATTCATCTCAAGCGATTCAAATTCATGGAACAGCTAAACAGACACAAGAAATTATCATATCGTGTCGTTTTCCCATTGGAGCTGAAACTGAGCACAACTGTGGGAGATGCTGATTCTGAGTACTCTTTGTTTGCTGTGGTGGTTCATATAGGGAGTGGGCCTAACCATGGGCACTATGTTAGCCTCGTAAAGAGTCACAACCACTGGCTGTTTTTCGATGATGAGAATGTTGAGATTATCGATGAGTCTGCTATACAAACGTTTTTCGGTTCGGCACAAGAATATTCCACCAATACGGATCATGGGTATATTCTCTTCTATGAAAGCCTTACTGCCGATGACAAACAATGAACAGAAGTTCATCTAACCACAGAAACCCCCATTCTCTCCTTTTTTTTCTCGGTTTTCGGTTTTTTTTTTTTTTTTTTTTGCGCATAATGGACACTCGAAACGACACTACATTTGGTTTCAAGTGTAAACAATATGGGAATGATTTGGGAAACAATAATTGGGGATGTTTATTATTTATCCGAATTTTGTATGGAAATTCATTTGGACAAAATGTTTGTATAGTGTTGGAACTTGTAAAAGGTTATGAATTTGACTGACCGTTTTCCCGGTAAAGATTTACCGATAGGTTTCTTCGTTGCGTTTGGCTTTTTTACCCAAACATAAAGGTCAAAGAGGCGAGATTTCATAACCAACTTGTAGCTCAAAAGCTAGGAAACTCGGATTGGAAGCCGGAACGAAATGTAGAAATAACATATTGCCAAAAATTCTGAAATTTCGGAATCGAAATCATTATCTACTTATAACTTCCACAAGAAATAAAAAAAAAATTAAAATAAATAAATAAATCCTATAAGTATACTTTTCGATTCGATCTGTCAGATTTCCACCCTTGTAAGAAACGAACGAAGATACAACTGATGAGGAGACAACCTCGTTAAAAATAAATATGTAAGTATTACTATAGACATTTTACAAGGTACAATTTTAACTTTTGTACCATACAATATTTACATTAATGATAAAATTATTATTACATTAGTTTGTCAGATTCTACACTTGACAACAATAAAGATTGATACAGCTACAACACAACAAGGTAAGTCAGATTGATGCAGCTCATTGGAATGCCAGAGACATGAAAGTATCATCATCCAGCAGAGATTCAATGTCGATGAGATCATCCTGCGGGTAAAACATATCGTCACTGGTTTCTTGGATCTCGGCATCTGAAGCATCCTGCACAAATTACAAACGGGATGAAATTTAGAAAATACACACACTACAGAATTTCAACATAATTGATTGTATTTAAAGGCATGCATATATGCACCTTCGACGTGTAGTAATTATGTGTGCGTTGGTTTTATAATACCTTAGTTTCACGGAACCCTTCGGCAGCAGTTAACAGCCTACGGTATTGAGCTCTTGCTTCAGGGTATTGAGCCATCGACTTCACCCTGGCAAGTGCTTTTTGCATCCTTTCTTCGGTTTGCTTTCTCCCTTCCTTGAGAAAGTCGTAATCGTCTTCCTGTGGCAATGTGCCCTGTCCACTTTCCACTTTCGCAACGGCATCAGATCGAAACCCACGCAATCCACTCCTTTTACGCCTCCAGCGCAGAATCACCTTCTCCATTATTCCCACTGACCAGATAATCGTCTTGTATTTTTTCCTTACCTGATGCCCTCTAAAATGAGCCTTTAGCCACACCAAAAAAAAAAGAAAAAAGTGAGCGCCATATTAAAATGCTCGATACATTCAATAACTGAAAACTAGCTGTATACTGAATAGGAAAAAGTTGGCTTAAAGTATAATGATAAAGTAAAGAAGGGCCACACTCGTAACATTACTAGTGAGGAAAATCAAGAGAAGCAAAATTTCTATAATATTTTAAGATTTAAGTTGGCTTGCCTTTTTCCGGAATTTTTTTTTAATCATGCAGTCACAAATTCCCGTCATTTTTATTCAGTAGACAAGGACATATATTATATAATAATCTGCTTTTTGACTCCTCGAAAGAAAAAAAAAGCACCTGAATTTTAACAACTTTTTGTCGGATTAAGAGAAACTCTTTCCGCTTTTTCCAGCCACGAAACTTTTTCTGTATGCGCACTGCAGCAGCATTTGCCCCACCGCTGGCACGGCCTAATCTGGAGTTTTTACCAGCTACAAGAGAAATAGCATTCTCGTTTGGGGTCACCGATTCATCGCCACCATGTTCGAGCAACTGCTTCCTATGAAACGACTGAGTGCGGAAAATTTGATGAATGCGAGCTGCAGCTTGAGTAGCATTACAGATAGCGGCAAGCGAATCCTTGAGCGAGAGTGTATCTGGCACATCCTCTCCAGTTGTTGGAACTGCTAAACGTTCCGAAACTGTCTGTACTGCTCTAGAACCTGAAAATCCTGACCCGCCATGAACAAGTGGATCATCGACTCCAAGAGTTGAGAGGTGTGTGGTCAGGGTAGTCTCGGCGAGGAAACCAGATATGCCCTTGTGCCCACTGGAAGAAGCCAGGTCTGCAGGAGTTCTGCCTAAAGGATACTCAGCAGACGGGTCTGTGAGAGCTCCAGGAGACGCACCCAAAGAAACAAGGGCAGCAACCGTGTCCTCCCTATTGAACAAGAAGAATTTGTCAGTATGATGCAGAAACTTCGACTTGCATTTTTTTATTTCTTTTTCCACAACAGAATGGTAAGCAATTAGGGACCGAGGATAAAACTCTTCTCTCTCCAGTTAGAGTAGTAAAATATGATTAAACATTCAAAAGGCACATACTGATAGAGATCAGGCCGAAAAGTTTCAGAGTTCAGGAGGTAAGAAACACGTAAAATACGGACTAAAAAGAAAAAGAAAAGCCCTCTCTCCATAATAAGAGCGGTCAAAAGCTAGCAACATCATGATACTTGGCAGAATAGTGGACAAAGTCGGGGCGACGGGGCACAATGTCTGCTTCAGTATCATAAGGACCCTAATATGTTTTTGTTTAACACTTGAGTTTACAGCAATCTACCTGCCATAATGTGCAGCCCAATGAAGTGCTGTCCATCCATTCACATCGCGAAAGTCTATACTTATTCCTGAAACAATGATTGGCTGGAGGACCCAATTAAAGCCAAGAGCAGCTGCCAAGTGCAACACGCCTTGACCCCCTTTGACATCTGCTATACTCTCGCTATCATAACTTAATTTGTGGAAAAGCCAAGTGTAAAACTTCTCTTTTAGCTGCTTTTGAAGGAGAAGTTCCCCAATTACCATCAGCTCTGTTGTGTCTTTTTCTGGAGTCAGCTTTATCTCCTGGTTGTTCTCTTCCTCCATGAAAGAAAAGATTTTATTGATTATATTTTGTTTCCCAAAGTCATTTCCACTAGAATTTAAATCGCTGCCACTGGTTTCAAGGGACAACTTTGTCTCGAATCGCTGATAAAGATGCATCACATTTGTACTTCCACGTTCATCGATGCCACCCATACTTTGGTCTTGTTCAAATCTGTATTCAAATTCTCTTATTTCACTACAAGCCAACCTGTTTGAACAAGTTACGTAGAAAGGGACAAGTCCAGGCTTCTGTAGTGGAGCATGGCAACAAAGAATCCCATCTGCTAAAACCTCTGCTGCAACCTCTACTTGTCCAAACATAATTGACCATCTGCATTTTGATAGCTCTTGTTCACTCTTGAGAAATATTCCAGTGATAAGGACCTGCTTCGTCGAAATAAAACAAGATGTTAACAGCAACAATATTAACAGCGATTTCATCCTTCAACTAGATAAAATTGACCGAGTATGACAATAGATAACATTCTACGGGTTCTCTCATCTTGAATTAAAATTTTCATACAAAAATAGCAGCATCAGCCCTCTGTTCGTGCAAAGAGATGAAAAGAATACCTGGCAAACTTATTCACATCTAAAGCAACATTAGAGACACAAACAATAACTTAAACTATACTCATGCTGACCGATGCCAAAGTTAACAGGAAGTACCTTGGTCTTCATGTTCGTGTAAGCCCAATTTGGTGAAAAATCCATAATGCTAAAAAGTTGGTCCTGGGAAATTGATGGATTTAGTGTGTCCAAATCCACTTGCAACTGAGCAGGCATACCATACCCACTCCAAGAAATTCCATTATTTGACTGCAAGTTCAGTTCATCATAGTCTTCGAGTTCTTTAGCAATCCAACGGGAGAAGCTGTCAGCTTTCTTCAAGTTTTCCTCTTTTTGCAATCCACTTATTGAAGGCTTTTTCAGGAATAATGAGTAGTTTTCATTTCCCATCGAACTTAAGTTCTCCATGTTTTGGTTCATTGCATGCCCCGTTTCTGCTTCCGACAGCAGCATTTGAAGATTCTTTTGCTCCGACTGCTCTTTCTGCTCACCGGGAAGTGTGTAAAATGGCCGCACAAAATTCTCTTGATTCACATGAAGGGATTTCTCCTCAAATGAAGTATTGCCCTGATCAGGAGGTAAATTCAAGATCAGATTTTGGTTCATGGTCGGAATGTGCAGTTTCAACGAGAAGTCTTCAAAAGAATCCTGTATTGAAGTCTAAAAAATCAGTTTATGAATATATCGAGGAGAGAATCTTTAATATGATCAGAAAACCAAATAAGCTAGTATTCAAAGCTAAAATTAGTGCAGATACCAAATTTCAAAATTTTGGGAGATATTAGGGTTAGAGAGATGCTTTTTTTCTTGAAAAAGGCATTGAATCTTGATTCATCATCTATACATTGGCTTATAAATAAGCTCGGTTGTGCAAAACTGAGTGGTAACAAAGAAATCTTTGATGAGGATGGAATAGCAGAGATATCCAACGATTTTGAACAGTGAACATAAAGCAGGTCATCAATTGTTTCCTCTCTGATACAAATTTTAGTTCTCCAATGAAATTGAACCCACCCACCTCTGGGAGATGGAACAGCATACCAAAAAGAAAAAGTAATCCAATTGATAACTATATCGGGTGAATGTTCTGCAGCAAAGTATTTTAGTTTCAATGCTTAAAAGACAATGCCTGCAACAGAAAGAAGTTAAGTACCTGCCAGTTTGCCTGGACAGGCAGATAACAGCCAGATTCCTGTTTGAATGCGGTTTGACCTGCTCAAAAAGAGAAATATGATCTCGCTCAAAAGTGCTGAAAATTCAAACTTGGTTGAATAACAAGATGCCTTTATATTATATAATCTAGAACTGCCTCCACCTAAATCTTGATCACTATACACTTTGCGGACGGCTAAAAGTGCGGCCATACTCCAAAAACAAGGATGATAAAAATGAAATACATACCTGGACTAGAAGTTGGATTATATGAGTTTGATTGGGCATAATGGCTTCCATCTGTTAATGGTGACTCTGGAAATGAGTGAAATCTAGAACTTGCTTGATGATTATCCTCTATAGTAAGTAGCGTCCACCAAATATTGTTCCGTGGGAATAACAGAGAGCAAGTGGGCTCAGTGTCAGTTACTATCTTTGTTTTATGATATTTGATTAGAGGCAGAGACACGCACAAAAACAAATATATTTACAAACTAGTACCTGATTCAGCATCTTCACATGCTGATGACAATGTACTGCTGGGACTTGTTCCATGGAAACTGGAAGACAGTAGTACGCTGTTATTTTCAGAATTTGATACGACTGTATCACTGTTTCTTGAAGAGCTTATGTTTGTCTTATTACCCTGCAGAAGGAAATGAAAGATATTTTTTTAATGGCAGAAACCATACCATAAAACATATTCCCCATATAAAAGCTCAAATATTTAAGGATCGTGGGTAGTATTTGGAAAATCATTATGCATGTTCTCGTGACTAGAAAATGAAAAAACACTTATTTTATAATTTTTGTGGAATATTACCTTGACTTCCAAATAGTGGGCAAACACTATGTGCATGAGATCCCTGCACAATAGGAAAAAATTAACTCTCGAGTAGTTTAAAATTCAAATATCATCTGTAGGAATGTCAGTTGTCTATAAATATCATGTCTAGTAAAGCAAACAACCATTTTTAAGCGACATGTCCACTCCTAAATAAATATGACTAGACCATAATAAACAAGTTAAACACAAGAAATATGGACTACCAAGATTAATAATATAGAATCAACATGTATAAATATGGACTATCGAGACTAAACAAACATATAACTGATAAATTATTCGGGGAGACCAGGCAACAAGTCCTACAACATTGCTCTTCATCCCCGGATTATAATTGTGTTTATCTATTGCTTGATATATTCAGAGTTTGCTAGATCTTGCAAGTATTGACCTACTCCTGAAAAGGCCATTTCCATGTTTTTTGTTTATTTATATCAACCATAACTGATTCCTAGTGGATTTCAAAGCAGTATTAGATAACAATCAACGCATCTACATATTTAAGAGACGGCAAAGATGAACTACAATAGTAACAATTTGAAAAATATAAACTCAAAATTAATTCAGATGCACAGTTTAAAAGCAAAGCTCTATCACAATTCACAAGGTCCAACTACAATCATTGTGGACATGTCAAATTTAAAAGCTAAGACTTACTGCTCAAGCAACCAGTAGCTTCGCCTCTGAAAATTTTCATTATCCTCTCCATGAGCATAATAGCAGTGCAACATATCAATACTTCCAACCTGAACAAATTTAAACAAGCATGTAGCCTTTAGCGAAAGGTTTTTCGGAACACAAGAAGAATCAAAATGAGTACAATTACCTTCAGTTTCTCGTGGGCTTCCTTGACAGTCTTCCCATCCTTTTTCTTTCTCCAATTATGCCCGTCCTTCCGGAAGTACCGCAGTACCTTCCGATCAAATAGAAAAACAGAACCACCTGATAAATCACGCATTCAGTAATTAGATTCGTAATAATATATTATTCACTAAAACACATGAATAAAGATTGCTATGCCACCGGAAACATATCCTACAAGATTTGAAAGAAATACTCAAATATTTTATTTTGTTCCTTCCATGCAGCACGTATTGACTAAATGAAAGAACGTACTGACTGGCTTATTTGGAGCCGCTGGGGAGATATGAAACTTTTGATAGTTTCTTAGAATTTCAACAATTTCAGCAGGCCTCAGCCAGCGATGTTGGGCTTCTGATAAGATCTGCTTAATATCTGTGCATTGAACATAAGAAATCCTTGCTCAGAGAAAATAATAATAATAAGAATACTAATAATAATAATAATCCTTGCTCAGAGAAAATAGTAATAACAATTGTGCTCCCTAAAATAACAGTTACCTTATACTCACCATATATCTTTCAGAAGCAGTTAAAATGCCATGTGCGACTTGAGACTAATGTCAAATTGTGAATTAACCAACAACATTGATGCACAATAAAACGGACGGTCAAGTGCGTAAAAGGGTAGGCACATGAAATAACAGCGGTTTGCCACTTATACATTTCATGAAACTTCTACACAAAGTTTTTTTTTCTTTTTAATTTGAGCAATGTAAATAGGTTAACACAGCATATGTTACTCTCGAGAAATATAATGTATGAAATCTTTATGTTCTGTGCCTTGAGGAGGAACAGCTGTAAGGTAAGAGCCATTAGCTAGCTAGTTCACTACCTCATACAAGCCAATTCATCACGGATTCTGCAAATATTATTGGGCGTTTGAAGATATCAAACATCATCCAGTTACATGCGAACTAAACAATTTCAAGATAGTGCTTTCACTAAGTATTAAAATTCTTTCACAGCTTTATTTTGTTCTTCAACTTAGCCAAATAAGTTCTGTGGAATACAATTGCTCTAAGTCTTGTTAAATGGAGATAGATCCGTAAAATTGACTTCGATATGGTCCAAATCCTTCGTGTTTTTTTTTTCTTTTTAGGTTCCAATAAATGTAAATGCAACTACATCTTCATGCATATCTTATTAAGAAAATACGATTCAAGGGGGCAATTGATGCATAAATAGCACAACAGCTAGCTAAACAGGAATTACCAACACATAATCAAAAAGCACAAATCGTCATTCACAACTAAAACGTTAAACCTAATTCCTCAATTTCTAAAGTTCCCATTACAATTACTCAAATTAAAGCTCGAACAACCGAATCAAACTCACTCCATTACCGAGTTACGATGAAATTTCATGAAATTCACGACCTTAAAAACAGTGATTCGAACTACGAAGTTAAAAAGGGGAATCGTACCTAATCGAAACCCTAGACTGGACGATCCGCTTTCGGCCATGGACGACTGGATCACTGTAGGCAAGAAATTGGAGTCAGCTCATTTATATAGTCTATTATTCTGTAGATAACACGAAGATATAGAGAGAGAGAAAGCTAGAGAGAGAAAATTTATATACAGCACACTTTGCGCACTACTCTGGAGATTGGGGAAGGTCAGTCGTCATGTAGTTTGCCACCGCAAATGGGATGACGCCAACGCTTAGCCTATAAGAAATATATAAATTTGTAAATATATAATATAAAGATAAATATTATTAATTTTTGTATTATATTAAGATATAAATGTACTTATAATTTTGGACGTTACATTTTCAAAAAAGATGTTCACATTTTTTAATTTTAAGGGTAAATTACAATTACCTCCCTAAGGTAAAATGTATTATTTATGAGTAATTACATCCGGTCCCTGCGGTTTGTAAAATTTCTTACATCGATTGTTAATGTTAAAAATTTAAATTGGATGTAATTAGAGAACAATTAGGGGTTTCTTTTGTTATAAACCTTATCTCACGGGGCGATTGTAATTTACCCTTAATATTTGATTCACTGAAGTTTTGATTGTTCTGTTTCAAAATAAAAGGAATATAACATAATTTGCTCTCTCTTTGAGAAAATACCAATTCAATAATATTTTGTATATATTTTATTCAATAATAATAATTTATTTATTTTTCTTGAATAACAAATTAACAATCAGTAGACTTGCGAGTACCATCTATGACCATTCTCTAAGGGTATTTTGTTTGGTTTAGCAAATAATAAAATTTTAATTATCTTTTTATTTTTTATTTTTTTCTGAAAACTTTATCAGGTTACAACTACAGTAAAAACTCGATAAATCAATAACCTCACTTGAATAATAATTTTTTTAGTCCCGACTAGGTGACAACATACTATCCTATTAACTCGATAGTTTAATATATTCTACTAAATTAATAGAAATTGTGTTAGTTTATAAATGTTTAACTGTATTTTATCATTTGCAAGGCCTTATTTCGAACTACCTTTAAAGCTCACCTTACGCCGCCAAGATTGCAATTCGCCGGAACCCAGTTTGATTATATTCAATTATTTATACTAAAGTATTTTTAAAAAATCCCAAAAACATAAAGAGGACATAATTCAAATCACCTTGAAATCCATTGTTCAAGTGGAACAAACACCATCATCACAATTTGTTCTATAACAAGTGTCTTTAAAAATAATATTTTTGTTCCATATTTTTTATCACTTTAAATTTTCAATACCGAAATTAAATGCATTTTTTTGTTTTAATCTTAGTAATTCAACTCTAAGAATTAATTATCTTTTGTCACATCATTAAATGATCAATGTTATTCTAGGTTTTTTAATTTATTTTTTTCTAAAAATCAAGACTTTTTTATTAATATTCTTAATACCTGTGCAAAGCTGAAAAACGACAATTAATTATAAACCGATGGAATATAATTTATTCCTTTACCAAAACGTATTACTTTTACCCACCAAAACAATGCAAGTATCATATATATGTATATATATATATTTATTTATGCCACCTAGAAAAATGAATGCTCGTGCTCAATAAATACAATATTTTAGGTGAGAACACAAATTGTCATAAAAAATGAATTATTTTGCTTCAACATGTAACTGATATTAATGTGCTTTGGGAAATCACTTTCTTTCCACAAGTTGGTGGGGCTGAAGCTGAGGGCAACACATTAATTAATGTAATTAATTACCCTTAATATTAAGTGGGTGAATTGTGGTTTATACGATGCTACATTTTGTGAAATATATTTTTTCCATTCAAACACACATACATCCACGTTGGTGTGTGAAAATCAACAGTAAAAATTAACTTAATATTAATTTTCACCGGATATAGCATAAAAATAAACGTAGATTGGGTCCGCAGTTCGCTAGCCCATTATACAACACCATACATACTTTTATAATTTTACTTGATAATAATAATATCCAATTACAGATCAAATTCATCATTAAAAGGCTTCTAATTGGATCAAAATTGAACCCGAGCCCATCATAATTGGACATTAATTTTATGGGTGAATTGCAGTTTGCACAACGGAAATGACCTAAATTGCCACTTTGCACCCTAAAATTTAAAAACTGGCAAAGTTCACCCTCAAATTATATATTTCATGGCACGATGCACCCTACATCCATTTCTTATGTTATTGTTTTTTCAATAATAATTTTAATTCAATTTGATTTTTCGATTCAATTTTAATTTAAAAACATAATTCATATAACTTTCAAATTTTTTTATAACTGGCATCGTAAAATATATGTTTTTTTTTTCGATTTTTTTTTCAAAGGGGCTAATTGCTTGAAATTAGATAAATTCAATCAATTAGTCTTATAAAAATACTATGAAACTATACAATTAATGGGAATTGTAATTCTAGAATAAAGTACAGTTCTAGAATTGTTTAAGTCCTAAGTTCACCTACCACCAAAATTACCCACAAAATAGAAAATGGAAAAGTTCACCTACCAACATATACATATATAACTAGTATCTCACCCGTGCGATGCACGGGATCAAATTTTAGATCAAAAGATATTATTCTAAAAAATCACCGAACTAAAAAAAGGTCGAGGATTTAAGTCGAATACGACCGAACAAAAAATAACAATTTCGTATTTTATATCATCGCCAAAAAGTCTACATAAATATAAAATGGCAATCTTGTACAAACCATCCACGCCGAAATGCCACAACCAACTCCAAGTGGGGAATCGAATGAATGGCTCTTGTACATTAATCTGAATGTTGGTACAATATAACACGAAGCTACGGTCACGAACAATGAAAATACATTTAAATTAAATAATATAGTAAAAACTTTAATTAATTGATATATAATATGATATAGTCCAAAACAAAAAAAATATCCATTCCGTATGATTTAAATACAAAACTTAAACAAAAATAATAATAAAATAAAATATAAAATAAATACTTGTGATATAAAATATACAATACCTCATCTGACCCAAATCGTAAAACTATCTCGCCCAATGCACTCGAATCCTTAACATGAAATTTAGTTATCAAAGTGATATTTTATACATGCATTGAAATCGTTTACACCTCATCTAATACCTTGTGAGTAACATACACATTTTGCATTGTTCATATTCTCTCAGTCGTGCACAATACTGAATAATAAATCACCTAAGAATGTAAAATAAATACAATTTATATAAAATTACCTAGATTAAAAAAATTCATTGGAGCGGCACTAATGTACATTAGTGATGAAATTGATTTGTATAAAATCACAACATTCTGTGCTATACCTTCATAATCACTTACAAACCTCCTTGTAGACAAAATTGTAATAACATTATACGTCTGATTTCAACTAGATAAATATCTTTATGCTACCCATACTCTATTCTCTGCATTAAGATATATAATTGTCCATGCAACTTGTAATACTAATGTTGATATAAATACTAATACTAATACTAATAATAATACTAATACTAATACTAATATTATGACTAATACTAATCCTAATACTAATACTAATACTAATACTAATACTAATTATACTAATATTAATACTAATACCAATACTAATACTGATACTAATACTAATACTAATTATAATACTAATACTAATACTAATATTAATACTAATACTGATACTAATACTGATACTAATACTAATACTAATACTAATACTAATACTAATACTAATACTAATACTAATACTAATACTAATACTAATACTAATACTAATACTAATACTAATACTAATACTAATACTAATACTAATACAAATGCTAATGCTAATACTAATGTTAATACTAATACTAATATTAATAGTATATTAATAACGATAACAGTGATACTGATATTGATACATATTATATTCACTAATATTAATACTAATACTACTGTGAATACTGATACTAACACTAATCGTAATACTAATACTGATACTAATGTTAATGCTAATGCTAATGATAATGATAAAAATAATGCTAATGCTGATACCGATACCGTTACCGATACCGATACCGTTACCGATACCGATACCGATACCGATACCGATATCGGTACCGGTACCGATACTAATACTGATACTGATACTAATCCTTATATTTGTACTCAAAATAATACTTATAATCATACTCATACTTTATTATTAAACAAACCAAAATACTTACAGACTACCATAAAGTGTGCATGTAGTACATGTAAACGGTAGAAAATATAAGATTTCAAAATTCAAAAATTCCAATTGGGCGGCAATAGCAAATCGATTTTCCTAAAAGCATTATCTCTGAATGGGAGGAGTATAAATTTTACCTAAAAAATATATATTGTTATATAATTGGACATAAATGATTCAAATGTATGTCTCAATTAAAATTTTATTAACGTAAATATTTAAATTAAAAAATAATACAAAAAAAGATATTAAAAATTATGTTTCTCGGAACATTAAATTAAATAAGATAATATTTTTTGAATTTATAAAATATAAGATTCATAAAAGAATATGTATGTACAAAAGTTAAGTAGGAAACAATTTAATAATACAAAAATAAAAGCTGACAAATAATCAATTAACTAAAAGACATAAGTAATTTAGTTCAACTAAGCGATTTCAAAGTTTGACATAAGCATCTTGACACATGTCATTCGTTAAGGCAATATTTTTTTTAAAATATTTTATATAGATTAGTATAATATAAATCATGCCTATTGTCCTTTTTGGTTGTATGCAAATTAAATTTCTCGGACGTAGCATTGTATTGCAATTTATTATTTATCATGCCTACAATAATTTTATAATAAAAGATCATTTATCAAAAAAGTTATGATATTTAAAATTTCAATTAATCTAATTTCCTTTCTTATAATATGAATATAACACGCTATTTTATATTTAGCATTTCTTTCACTTTTATGAGGAGAGTAATACAAAATGTATTGATTGTTGTTTGATGATGTCACATGCTTATTTGAAAAATTAGCTTATTAAATAAACTCACGCGGTTTTTATTTATACCAAAACACATTATGCTATTCAGATCATGAAGGCAAGATTAAAACACTTCTAACTATAATCAATGATTCCTTTTTTTTTTTTTTTTTTGCCTATTTATATAATTTATCAAGTCAACTAATTAAAACTTGATATTCCTAAGTTCAAATAAATATATAAGATTGGGAGGACATATTAAA